GGATGTTATAGGCTCCATGGAGTTTTGGACCAACAGGATCTCAGTCAACAACCAGTGTCAATTGCCAGACTAATGAACAAGGCTTCAGGTGACCTGGTCCAACCTTCAATCTGTTTCAGATGACAAGTGCATCAGGGAAAATCTGTTCCCAACAAGCTTTGCCTGACCAATGACATGAGCAATATTAATGCTGCATTTTAAGCCATAAAGTTATGAGGCATTTTGTTACACTGAAGCAAGTAAACGGGACATGCACACATATAACACAGCATGGGGATAAGGCATTGGACACAGTTCTAACTCTCATGCTCTCAACTCAGATACCAGAGTCTCAAATCTGAGCTCTGCTAGCAAGTTCCATAGCCTGTTTAGACTGTTCTTTCCTCTGTGAGATGGTAGTAATAACCATATTGATTATAGGTGTTATATTAGCTTGCTAGGGTTGCCATAACAAAATGCCACAGACTGGTCATTCAAACAACAGACATTTATTTATTCTGGAGGCTGGAGGTGTCCTAGTTTCTTTCCTATTGCTGTGATAAAAACACTGACCAAAACGAACTTGGGGAAGAAAAGGTTTATTTTATCTTATATCTCCCAGGTCACAGTTCATCACTGAGGGAAGTCAGGGTAGGAACTCAGGGCTGGAAGCTGGAGGCAGGACCTGAAGTACAGATCATGGAGGAACGTTGCTTACTGGCTTGCTTCTTTGGCCTGTGCTCAGCCTGCATTCTGATACAACACAGGACCACCTGTCCAGGGGTAGCACCTTGCATAGTGGGCTGGGTGGGCTGGGCCCTCCCTCATCACTCAACAATCAAGAAAATGCCCCGCAGATATGGCCACAGGCCAATATAATGGAGGAAACTCCTCCACTGAGATTCCTGTCTACCCAGGTATGTCAAGTTGACAACTAAAGCTATCCAGCACAATTAACCCCTGGTCAACTTGACACACAAACACATTACTATTAAACCATAATCTTTTCATTTCTTATCCTGAAGCGCTCATGTTAATATTAATATTACAACATAAAACATTATGACTTTGAAAGCTCCTCAGTCTTCAAAAATTCAAACACTTTAAAAGTTCAAAGTCTTTTTAAAAAGTGTCTTGATTATGGGCTTCTGTAAAATCCCAAACAAGTTAAATACTGTCTTATTTCAAAAAGAAAAAATCAGGCACATATAAGCAAAACCAAATTTTAGCAAAGTATCTCAAGCCTGGATTGATTTACTCATGATCTTCTGGGTTCCAAAGGGCTTGGGCAGCTCTACTTCTCTGGTTCTGCCATCCACAGTGTACACAGCTTGTCTTGTAGTCTCAGTCCTGCTCCACTCAACACTTGCTGCTACCCTTGGTGGTCATCTCATGGTCCTGGCATCTCCAATATGCTGGGATCTCCATTGCAACAGAGGCTGCAACTTCATCAAGGGCCTCTTCTGGCCTCACATGATGCCAAGCCTCATATTCTTTCCATGACCCTTTCATGCCCTCAAATTCAATACCATGTAGGAAACTCTTACATATTACCAAGTCCTGCTTCCAGTTTGAGATAGACCCTTGGGTGCCCTCTGGACACAGCTTCTATGTGCTAACCCTAAGGAAATACTCCCCAAAAGATTTTACCTCATTGATGCCATTCTCTTGTTATTCACAGCTAATTTTCAGCCCTAGCTGACCAGCATCAATTGTCCCAGTAAAGCACCAAAGATTTCACTTCCAAAAATTCTTAGTTCCACATAAACATTCCTGATGGAGTCTTTACTTTCCTTTGAAGCTTTAAATCCAGGCCTCCATTGTCTACACCCTTTTCAGTACCCAAGCACCATAGCAACAGCTCACTAAGCTCTGTGCATTCATTGTTTTTTCCGGCCCAAAGTTCCACAATCCTTCCAAAACAACATGGTCAGAGCTGTCTCACAGTAATACCCCACTCCTGGTACCAACTTCTATCTTAGTTACTTTCTATTGGTGTAATAAAAACACTAACCAAAAGCAACTTGAGGAGGAAAGGGTTTATTTTATCTTACATCTCCCAGGTCACAGTTCATCACTGAGGGAAGTCAGGGCAGGAACACAGGACTGAAACCTGGAAGTAAGAGTTGAAGCACAGACCATGGAGGAACTCTGCTTACTGGCTTTTTTCCCTGGCCTGTGCTCAACCTGCATTCTTATACAACACAGGACCACCTGCCCAGGGGTGGCATGTTCCATAGTGGGCTAGGCCTTCCACATCACTCAACAATCAAGAAAACATCCCATAGACATGGCCACAGGCCCATCCAGAGAGGAAACTCCCCAATTGAGGTTCTCTCTACCCAGGAGTGTCAAGTTGACAACTGAAATTATCTAGCACAGGTGGTCTGAAGACAAGGTGCTGGCAGAGTAACCTTCAGAGGGTCACTTTCTCTCTGTGCTCACATTTAGGGCCTCATTTTAACTAAACTACCTGCCTTCAAATGCAGTCTCAGGACTTGTGATGTAATTGCCGACTGGTCAGAATTCAGACTCACCTCTGGGCATGTGTAAATGGGATTATCTTGATTATGTTAACTGAGGTGGGAGGATCTGCCCTCTGTGGATGGCACCTTCCCTGGCAGGGTCCTGGACTGTTAAATGGAGAAAGGCAGCATGAATTCATTGCTCTTTGCTTCCTGATTGTGCATATGATGTGACTTGCTGCTTCAGGTTCCTGACCTCTTGATTTACCCACTATGATGGACTGCACCCTTGAACTGGGAGCCAGAATGAACCACTTTCTCCCTTAAGTTGCTTTTGTCATATGAATTAGAGGAGCATGAGACACACTGTGGGATATAACAATTTTTATGGGCACTAAATGAAGTGAACCAAATGTAAGGAGTAGTTTAGTTAAATGGAGTTAACATGGGCCCATGGTGAGCAGTTAATAAGCAATGGCCATTACAATTATTATGCCTAATATCCACAAGATTGTACCTGACTCATACAGAGTAACTTCCCTGCATGCTCCAGGGGGAAATCTTGCCTTCCTATTACTTGAATAAGAAAAGACCAGCTCCCTTCTAAGGCCAGTGTGACCTATTGGCCACCAGCTATATAGTGGTGACTAGAGAGTAGCTGAGGAGTCCCTTCCAAAGGGAGATAGAAGTTTTATTATCCTTCAGCAATAGATGCTTGTTCTAGGGACCTCTTGAGGGGCTCCTGGCTTAAGCCTGGGAAACTAAAACAGAACTAAGACACCTAGGACTGCGAGGGCCAGAGTTAAGTGGCCAGAGTTAGGACATGTCTTTACAGACACCATTAAGCACTGAGCATCTCTTCATTATCATTTTCTTTCCTCCATCACGTCATCCCAGATTGACCCAGGTAAGGAGAGGCAATAGTGTGGAAACCAGCAGTTGCTGTCTGGAATTGCCTGCATACTCCAGAACCAACCGCTGGAGTCAGTTCCACTGCAGGCAATTTGTGAAAGGTATTTTAGAGAGAAAGTCTGGATTCAGAAAACCTTTCTGCCAAGTCCTTTGTTTTCCTAATGTTGCCACGCTGTCTGGGGCTGAATTTTTTAAATGGCATTTTCCTGGAAAGGAATATTTCATCTTTTTTGAAAATGTCTCATGAAAAACAAGATCACCAGTGGACCATCGGGCATGATGTCTCCAGGGCTAGCTTGGGAAACAGTAAGTGGGGGAGGGTCACTCATGGTGGGAAAACGAACACAAATAGGTTCAGAGGGAAGGGAGATGTGACAAAGGGGCCAACATTCCTTCGTTAGACATAGGCCCAGGGCCCAGATTCATTCCAATGTGCAAGCATCATGGAAGGGAGGGAGAAAGGGGGTGTGGCCCTGGAGCCAGGCTTTGGGAATGTCCCACAAGAGCCTGTCATCAGCAGGGTTGAGTCTCTATCCATCATAGAGATGAACCTGTTCCCAGGTCTGTCACTGTCATCACTGCCTGATTTGCATAGGTGAGGGGACAAACATGATGCCCCAGAGGCCACAGCTCCTCCATCAAGTCACATTTCCTTTTTGAAGAGAGGAGGTCTATAGCTTTCATTCTGGAGGCTCCAGAAAGGTGGAACTGTGTCTCCCCATGGAACTGGAGGATCCTCAATGCAGGACCCTGTCCCTTCTCCATCTGAGGATCCCTGGTGCTGGGTACCTTGTTCTCATTCTGTTTCCCAGAAATCAGTATGTGGGAGAAGCCTGGTTTATGGGGCTGACTGACTCAGTGACCTCTCCACCCTTGTAAGCAGCACAGACATGGGCTGCCCTATGGTCACCTCCCTCTCGGCCCAGGGCCAAGGTAATGACTGTGGCCAAGTGGAATTTCTGTGGAAGAAAGGCTCTTGGAAGCTCTTTGCAGAGCTGGCTTCCATCCTCTAGGCTTCTCTGTTATGCTTCTGTCTGTTTCTCATCCTGCCCTGTCCTCTTGGTACCAGCCTTGGGTCTCCTGGGTTTGTGGTGACCTAGCATGTGGATGTATTTGCCAATTCTGAAAGCCCCTGGAACACTTTGTTTAAGGTTTTTTTTTTTTTTTCTTTTAAAGCAAATGAATGTTTCATTTTGCAAGTAGGATTAGTTAAATCTTTGACCATTGATGGTTGAAATAAACCCTTGGCTCCTTTCTGCCCCCAGAGATGAGCTGTGTATGTGTCCGGGGGAGTGGTTAGGGGATGGCACTGAAAGTCCTAACCTTCTACTCATGCTTTGTTCTTGCAGGTGACCAGCCCTCATTCTGTCCAGGGGTCCCTTGACACCAGTTAGCTCCTAACACATATTCTACCCCACTCAGGAAATTCCAAGGATTTTAAAGCTGTTTGCCAAGAACCAGAGACAAAGATCAAATACTAATTTTTTATCATATCAACTGCAGTTTAGGATTATGTTTGGTTGCACATAACAGAAAAGAATAGATTAAACACCTAGAACTGCAAGGGCCAGAATTAAGTGGGCAGAGTTAGGACACGTCTTTACAGATACCTTTAGGCGGCCAGCATCTCTTCGTTATCATTTTCTCTCATCCTTAGTCTTGAGTGACTTGTCTCCTCTTCCTGGTTACACAGTGCCCCCTGCTCCAAGCATTTTGTCCTTATTGCGCTGTAGAAGGAAGATAAAACAAGCCACTCTTCCTAGAAGATAATAGTCAGCTTCTGTTTCTGTTTCATTGGCTAGAACTGTGATACTTTACCTGCTACCTCATCTACAAAACATTTCTGATCTGTGGGGAAAAAAAATCAAGATTCGATCATAAGAATGAAGATGAAAGGGTATTATCATGTGAGGTGGTACAAGTATTTATAGTTCATTTATATTACTGTAATAATTTTTCTATGAATCAAAATCTGTACATACCTAGGGTCTCTTATGCTAATGACTCTATCCCAAGTTCCATGTTATTAATATTTAGCATTTGAGGTCCACTTTGTCTTAAATGCCATAGAGCTGGACATGATCATCATTGGTCTCTTGCAGTTTTGTTTAGATTAACTTACATGTCATGCATCTCTTCTCTCCTTGTTGACGCTTTCATCCTCTTCTCAGATCAGTTTCCTTCTGTGGAAAGAGTTTTCACAGAACTCTCTCTTGTTCTGAAGATGACATTTAAAAAAAAAAACACACTCCTGAATGACAGTTAACCTTGGCTTAGCATTCAACAGTGATGGTTGCTGTCTTTCAGTACAGACTTTATTGGCCTTAGTTCCTAGTGCCAAGTCTACCACTGTCTACTTTTTCTGGTTGGTAATCTCTCCTCTCCTCTCCTCTCCTCTCCTCTCCCCTCCTCTCCTCTTCTCATGCCATTATGATTTTTCTGTGGCTTGTGTTTTGTAGCTTACTGCTTGCTCAGGATTCTGTTTCTTCAGTTTGAAGATCTATGGCTACATTAGTTACTTTCACATTGCTGTGACAAAATGCTGAACAAAAGCAACTTAGGGAAGAAGGAAGGGTTTATTCTGGCTCAGAGTTTGAGAGTGCAGTCCATCATGACGGGGAAGACATGATGGTTGGAGCATCAGGCAGCTGCACTCAGGAAGCAGAGGGAGTGGAATGTTGGTACTCAGTTCACTTTCTCGTTTTTGCCTAGTTTGGCACCTCACCCCACTGAAGGTGCTCACGTTTAAGATATGTCTTTTCCTCTTCAGTTAAGCCTTTCTAAAAACACCCTCAGAGACAGCCCAGAGGTGAATGTGATTTCAAATCTCACCAAACTGACAATCCTGGTCAACTGTCACAACATTGTAAAACATTCTCAGCCTGCATCTGAGCACTGCTGCTCCTTCCTTCCTTCAGTTTCCCCCTCTAACGCTCATTGGATACATGTTGGCCCTGCACAGTTGTTCTTGGGTTATACGATTTCTGTAATTTGCCCTCTCTTAATTGTCCTATACTACATTTTAGATAATTTTTAAAACTCATTTTAGCTTATTAAGCCTCTTTTCAGTTTTTCCCGATGTGCTAGATTTTTGTTTTGTTGTTTTATGTGGCAAGGGTTGAACTCAGGGCTTTGTGAATGCTAAACATATGCTTTCTCACCAAGCTACCGCATCGCATCTTCTGTTTAACATCTTTTGACTATGTCTTTTTATTTCTAAAGCTCTAGAAGTTTTATTTTTTACACTACTCTATTTGTTCTTTATGCTTTTGATTCATTTTAATTTACTTGACATTAAAAAAATATTTTATTTTTATTTTATGTGTATATGTGTATTGCCTGCATTTAGGTAAGTGCACCGGTGTTGTGCAATGCCTGCAGAGGACAGAAGAAGCTGTTAGATTCCCTGGAACTGGAGTTATGGACAGTTGTTAGCTACCATGTGGGTGCGGGGATTCGAACCCGGGTCTTCTGCAAGAACAACCAGTGTTCTTAACTACTGAGCTATCTCTCCAGCCCCTTACTTGACATTTTAAAACATAGGTTATGATTTCTTAAATATTGTTTCATTTTAAGTTTTGATAGCCAATTTCAATTATCAACTTGATTGTATTAAGAAATGCCTAGGGCATTAATGAGACATAGACTTGGTCAGTCTGCATCAATGTTCCAGAGAGGTTTTACTGAGGAGTGAAAACTTACTCTAAATGTGGTTGGCACCACTTCCCTGGGCTGGGGTCCCAGGCTGAATAAAAAGGAAAGAGGAGAAACCTGCTGACCACTAGCTTTCTTCTCTGTCTGCTTCCTGGTCTGTGCACTGGGCTAAGCTACACCCACCTCTCCTACAACGATGGACTGTCTTTCTATGAACTGTGAGCCAACATAAACCCTGTCTCCCTTAAGTTGCTTTTTGTCAGGTATTTGGTCACCAGGATAAGAAATGTAACCAACACACACTAATTATTCTCTTATTTGTTCTGTAGTCTTCCTTATTGTAATCTGTAATTTATCTGTGTTCCCCCTCGGGATAAAGATAATTCATAATAGAGAAGTTTTTCATTGTTCCTAGTACCCCAAGGGTCAAGGGTCAATTTTATGTTAGCTTTTTGGTTCATGATTTGAATGTCAAGTACACGATTAATTTTATGTGTTAACTTAGCTACTAGGCCATTACCCAGTTTTTTGTTAAATACCTCTGTAGATGTTGCTGTGAAGGTACTTTTAAAAGTGTAAGTAACATTTAAGAGACTTTGAGTGAAACATGGGCCTAATTCAATCAATTGTAAGAAGGAATTCTGCCTCCTGATTGCCTTTGGACTTGAACTGTAACATCAACTATTCCTTGGATCTCCAGTCTACTGGTCTATCCTGAGACTTTGAAGTTGACAGCCCCTGAAATTGCATGGGCTAATTTGTTAAAGGCACTTTTGTACACACATCCTATTTGCTTTATTTTTCTGAGTACCCTGATCCATACACCAGGTAAACAGCGCAAATTTGTATCCATACTTGTATATGGTGCTGCATGGATGTTTTGTTTCTCAAGGACGGCTTTATTTTGGTATCTGCAACCCCGAGAGAAGCAAATATTACTGGGAATTCCCTGGCTCAACAAGTAGAGCTTAGAATAACTGTTCCTTGAGAGTCTCTAAATGTACAGTCAGGTTCTCCACCTCAGGGCCCCGAAGCTCCTTCTTTCCATCTTGGTGGCCTTTATGTGGACATCAATACTACCAGGTATATCCAACCCTTTGAGACTGCAATACTTTCTTGTCTACAGAGTTCACGATGGAGAACTGAGCAATTGAATTTTTTTTTTTTTTTGAAGCAAGGAAGCAAACAAAAAGCCAAACCCTCTGTGTTTTCAATAAGTTTGCAATTTTGTGTTGAGCCACATCCATAGCTATCAGGTGCATGTAGACTCGCCTGGGGGATAAATATCTTCTTGGACCCTCAAGACATCAGGCGATGCTTACTAGAAGTTCCTTCTTTTTATTTATTTTATTATTTATTTATCTTTTTGTCTTTTTCTACAGGGTCTCCCTGTAGTCCCAACTGGCCTGGAATCGCTATGTAGACCAGGTTGGCCTTGAATTCATAGAGATCCATCTGTTTCTGCCTCCCAAGTGCTGGAATTAAATGTGTGTGCCACCATGCCTGGCTGCTTCATTTTATTTCTTGTATGTAGGGATTTTACTTTATTTTATGAGGTCAACTATATCTGTAAAAATATTTTTTCCACATATTACTCATGTTTGTACAGGTTTGTGGAGGGCATGGAAGTTCATACTAAATCTGTCTTCACTGTTCTTAAAAATATTTTATTTATTGGGGCTGGAGACATGGCTTAGAGGTTAAGAACACTGGTTGTTCTTGCAGATGACCCAGGTTCAAATCCCAGCACTCACATGGCACCTAACAACTGTCTGTAACTCCAGTTCCAGGGGATCTGACAGCCTCTTCTGTCTTCTGT